CCCACCTCAGCCTCTTCCCTCACCCTTCTCTGTGTTCTATGTTCTTGTTATCTTACCTATAGACCCAGCCTCCTACTGCGCTTCATCCCCCATGCACATCCCCGTGCAGGCACGGAGGAAGAGCCAGGCATCCCCCCTCAGCACATCTGTCCGGGGGACCCCCAGTGCTGCAGGGTGGGCACGGGGTCCCATCCCGCAGCGTGTGCTGCCAGCCCCCTCTTGCGCTGTTGCTGCAGAACGGCCTTGGCGAGGCACAATGGAGCCAGAGGCTTTTGTGCAAGAGGTGGCTGACACCCTGCTCCCGCGGGGAGGGAGGCTCAGGCTTTGTAGGCAAAAAGGTCGGAAGAGACAAACCTCAGCCCAACGGAGACACCTTCCCCCCCCCCCTAGACCTGTGCATGCACCCGGTTATACCCAGCCATGGTGGCCGAGGCAGGTTTGCACCTCCATCCATCCATCCCAGTGCTCAGCCCCAGCAGCTTCAGCCAGAAGCAGAGTGGGACCGAGCTCTTCTCTTTGGTGCAGAGGAAGGCAGGTTTAAAATGTCATACAAGGCACACCACGGGAGGGCTGGGTGGTGGGTTTGTTTGCTGCAAGGCAGGGGAGCCAGGTTTAGCCTGGGAGGGGAGCCCTGCTTAATCCAGGAGAGGTGGGACTGGGGAGGCATGATCAGTAATGCCTGCTCCAGCTGGGGCTCAGCAAGGAAAGGAAAGCTCTGTTCCCCCCAGCCCAGACTGAAATCAGCACCTTAAAGGCCAGTGCTGGGAAGTATCCGAATCTCACCCCATCGTGTGTGGCTGGGGACAGCTTCTCCTTGCATCAAGACACAGGAGCCCAGAAACAACCCCCTCACATTCCTCATGCATGGGCATGTCCCAGGAACAAAGCTGGGCTGAAGCAGGGTAGGGCTGGAGAGCTGGTGCCAGCAGAGATCACACCCTGGTCCACAGCACAAGAGGAAGGTCAGTGCGGGATCCAGCACGGAGATCTTGGCATCTACGTGCCTGCACAACTGATGAGCTTCTGCACAGAACCCTCCGTGGGGGGATGAGCAAACAGAACTAAACATGGTAATTTATTCACTCCATGAAAAAATATTAGTTAATCCAAGCCAATGAGATTGTAAAGCCTGATAACTGGCCTGGCTGATGCCAACATCTAGCGCTAGCAGCACTCGTGTTTTTTGTCTCCACTGTTGCCCTAGGCAGTGAGACGCAGCAGCAGCATGACAGCTCCCAGCCACACATGGTAATTCAAGAGAGAAAACACATCTGATTTGAACTCGGAACCAGAGCAGAACAGTTAAAAAAAACCTCAAGACAACTTGCAAAAATCGCTGTAGAGAGCAGTGACACTCTGCAGAACTTATTTGCAAGCCTGTGCTGTGCAGTTTCAGATAGAAACCGTTTAATGAAATGAAGGATGAGCACTGCTTATTTGCTTTGCAACGCCACTGCTGTGCAGGAATACCAGCAGGCCAAAGCAAACACTGAAAGCTGAGCCATCCCACTCCAAGTACCTTCACCCGGTGTTTGGTCCCAGTGACTGCTGCCCTTTCACTTGCAGCCAAGCGTAAGTGCTTGGATTGTGGCTCCAGGGTCTGAAAACTATTCATTTTTTAAATTATGTAAGCCATATGAAGCTGTCACTTTGATTCACAGCTCATCACAGAGGTGATATTTGGGTTTGCAGTATTCAAAATAGCTATTGTGAGTTTTTGCATGCCTTTGTTCAACATCTTCAAGAACAGAAATGTCTCTCTAGACTCCATTGCCCACTTTCAAGTGCACAAAGACACATCCCCTCCCGCTCCAAAGGCTCTGGGAGATGGGTTACAGCAGTCCCACGACACCTAACTGCAGCCCTGGAGGAAAACAGGGCCCACGTGAAGCTCACCCTGCAGGAAGGCAGCGCTGGTTTCAAACGTATCGTGCCGCTTGCTTCTCCTGCTTGTTTTTCAATCGCATGGGGAGGATGTTAATGAGTGTCTGAGCCATGGCAGGCAAGCCCAGGGCATTTCAAACGTGGAAGAACTTCACAGAGAAATAATCTGCATAAAATCTGAGATGCCATTATTAAGAAGGAGAAGAAAATGCAAGCAGAAATCATCCTCCCTCAGCAGCCGAGAGGGGCGAGAGAAGAATAGTTCTACAGAGAAAGATGTATTCATTTGATCCATTATTTATATAAAGTGTTCTTTGTAAATCTGATTTCCCATCACCCTGGATGACAGCAGGGGGAAGACAGGAAAAGAAGAGGTCCAACTTCATACCTCCGAGGGAAAGACAGCCTGTCTGGACATCCTGCATCACACTTAGGGTCTCAGAGGGAACAAGCTCTAGCGCCATGGCAGGCGAGTGCCATCCCAGCCAGTGCCATTCCTGCAGGTGGGCAGCAGCTCACTAAGCACCCCTGCACCTGAAGGTAGGAGCTCTGGGGTTCTAAGCAGACATTTCCTTCCTTTTCAAGGTGGATGCACCGCCAAGTTCTTGTTGTCTCATGGAAACTGCTTAAGCCACTGAACAAACCCACTAAAAATAAAAGCATTTAATATGGGGTTTTCACATGAACACACAGAAAGGCAGCAGTCTGAAACAGTACATACATAGCATATATAAATAAGGACAAAGATTAAAAATCCTTTGGAAATGACAGACTCTGGGAACAGTTAGTGGCTGCTCTGGGAGGAAGCATCCTTGTGAGTCACTGCACAGGGCAGACAAATGAGACACATTCAGGCATGACTAAAACTCTGCTGTGCCTGTGAGACAGTGTGAGCACATTGGGACTGCAGCAGCCAAGGGTCCTAAAGGCCAAATCTGTTAGCCCCCCCCCCCCCGCCTCAGCATTAGGAGCACACCACCATGGGCTGAAGGGGTACCAAACCCCTCCTGGGACAGCTGTCTGAACACTGCATGCACCCCTTTGGCAGGGGAGGCATCTGAGACATGCAAAACACCAGGCTGATGCCCCATAGATAATTATTCTTCTTCAGATTTCAGCTGTGCCAGAAGCCAGACAGAGTCCCTGAGCTAGAGCCAGTATGGGGATAGAAGAGTGATGCTCCTCTTATCGATATGGAGCAATGTATTTAGTCTTAACAGCAAGACTGCCTTGCAAGCAGACACCCATAAAGAAATACATGCTCAAGTAAGCTAGGGGAAATGGGGAGAGGAGGGATAGGATGAGCAAATGCTTCACCCAGCAACTACCCCGATGGAAGTAAGAGCAGAGGTGGCAAGACCAGACTCAGCTCCCCCTGTGCTGCTGCTCAACCTTCAGTTCTGCCTCATCTTTGTTCAGAGGCAAAGCCAAGATCCCCAGGTCTCCACCAACAATGGACTGCAAGGGCAGGGTAGAAGTGCAGTCAGCAACACACATGGTGCCCTTTGAAGAGACAGCTTCAGCCTCCTCAGGGAATGATTACAGACACATCCAAAAAGCACATACTACTACCACAGCAAACAGCCTCTGCCCTTCCTCACAGCATCCTTTCTTGCCCAGTCCCTGAAGAACCAGAGCTCACTCTTTGCTGCCACAGAGGCTCCTAACACCAGCTACTCCCATCTCACACATCTACAGTCCCACTACCCTCTACATTTTCAAGGCAGCTCCTTCAATTTGGGGTCAGGCTGGGGACAGGCTCCCCTGGTAAAGCACCAGGAGCATCCCTTTGGACAGAGCAGCATGAGGAACATGCTTTGTAGCTCAAAAAACTCAAAATCACGGTAAAAAGTGACAAATTCCAGTGAAGCTGCACAGGGCTCTAATGCCCTGTTTTGACAGCATTAGCCTGTCGGACTGAACTCCCTGCTCACATCCCAGTCTTCACACCTCCTGCCACCAGTTGTCTCTGACAGCTGTGAAGGACAGAGCTCTAACTCCTGCTGGTTCTTAAAGATTAGAAGAGAATTATAATTGGATTGCAGAGATTATTTGCTTCACTGAGAAGGGCTGAGAAGTGTTTAGATGGTTCCCCAGCTGATTAAATCTTTATTTCACAGTAGTGACCCTCTGTGTTTCCTACCCAAGAGTGCTTGCAGACAGGTATTTGGCAAGATTGGCTTATTGGAGCACTTTAGCTTAACAAGACCGCTGACACTAGCCAGCTGTGATGAGGGTTTATCCCGTATCTAGATGGTTTCATCTCATTTCTGCAACTCAGCCCAAAGAGCTGAATCCAGACCCAGCCTTTCCCCCAGTTTAATGACTAACTAATCACCCAGCTGCCTGACCAGTCATTCAGATATCTTAAGCCAAAGCCTTTGGCACCATTTGCAGCTGATCACAAATGGCTGGAGCCCTGTCTCGCCTCTCATACTGCTCATGTTGTTCCTATGCTGGACACAGCACAAGATTGCCTGTCCCAGCTTCCAGTGGCTGAACTGTTCTGCCCCAGACAGCCTTTGCCAGCCTCCTGCCCCACTCAGCTTAGCCTCCCTGAGCAAACACAAAGCAGAGACAGTCCTTGCTCATCAGGCACAGCTGTGCCATGGAAACATGCAGGCAGTGAGCAAGAGCTGCCTCCAGCTCCAGATAAATCAGAGGGATAAGTTTATTGGGGAAGCTGTTTTCCCCTGACCCCAACTGCAATGATGGCACCCAAAGCCTCCCCTCCCATGCCCATCTTATGCTCTGTACCGTTCGTGCACTCCAGCCCTACAGGGACAGCAGGGCAGAGAGAGCCCAGAGGGAGCAGAGGAGGGCATGGCTCCAGAGGAGGCCTGGGGGTAAGGTGTCAGGATGCGGATGAAGGTTGGAGTCTATCATTCTCACTGCTAACAAAGCAGGGGGAGAAGCGAAAACAAGCCAATGCATTGAAAACTCAGCAGAAAAGCAAGAAAATCACAGCCTAGCAACATTGCAGAGAAAGATGGGAGTGCACACAGGGCCCTGCAATGCGGAGAGCTCTCCTTGTAAGCAAGTACTCCCGCTCTTCCCAGAGCCAGCAGGTCAGACATGCTGCACAAGTTTTGGTTAGATAGTGGTTTGCCCCATAGTAGGATGAAATACAACTTATATACACAAAGAAACAAGTCCCTGCAGTCTTTGCAAAGGGTCCAGTTTCAAGAGCGCTGCCATGCTGGGGAAGGTCGCCATGAGCCTGCAGCACTCCCCTCTCCGTGCAGCACGTGATTCACAGCTTGTGAGGCTGGGCATTCCCCACCCATGCCTTGGTGTGAGGAGAGTCAGAGGGATGATGAATCCTTGGAAAGCAGGCGGGTTCGCATGCGTCTGCAGGATTCCTAGAGCAGAGAATTAGAGCAATGGGATGCTTGAGACATACAATACTGCACAAGAAATGGTTAACATGCTGTCCTCTCCCTGCAAGGATTCCCCCCTGGAGTCTGTCCCACACCTTTTACCAAAGCAGGACACTAGATAAGAAACAGTGAGCAGACAGGGACCAATACAGCAGTTGGTCTTGGGCTGCACCAAATTCTTGTCCTGTTGCCACCCTGACAGGCTGTTATAGCACTACACTGTATTGCCAGCTTCCCTCTGCTTCCTGTAACAGCCACCACGCCAGCTCATGGGTAGGAGGGCTGTACACACCTGCTTAGATGAAACCCATCAAGGCTTGGCTTCCAGCATGCCAACTGGCTGCAGCTTGGCATGGAGCAGACTGCTACAAGTCAGGGGACAGCAGTTATTACAGAGCCTTACATGCACTCTGTCATCTCTGCAGGCATCAGAGCCCAGCAGGCCAAGCTCCCCACAGGAAGAAATAAGTCTCACCTCTCTTCTGCCCTCCAAGGTTTTCAGCTTTGCTTGGGACATGTGAGCAGGAGATCCACATTTCTGTAACTGAACAAGAGAAGAGAACAAGAGTAGAGAGCTGGGGAATGAAGTGCCATCCACAGCCTGTACCACCAGAGAGCAGCTATCGCTTAAATCCACTCTTGGGCAGGAGCACAGAGGGGCAACACTGGAGTGGAGTGGAGGCCCAGTGCTGCCTCCCCATTCCGATGCTGCTCTTGCCATCTGCTCAGCTTTCACAGCAGCTTCCCAAAACCACGATCACACAGAATAAACTTGGAAGCCTTCTCCTGGGCAGAGAACAGCAAGCAGGTCCCCAAGGATCACTGAAATGAGTGCCCAAAATGCACTCAACACCTCTCATACACTTCCCCACCAGCAGCTTTAACAGTGCTGGGGGCAGCTCTTACCAGATGCACATTCTCTTTGCTGACTCGCTCAGGCTCTGGTGTGGTATCCCTGCTCTTCCTCTCCAGGATAACCGGGGTTCCCAAAACTTTTCGCTGCCATAAGAAGAGAGGGCCGTTGGATAGTGCTTAGAGTGCAAAGTGAAAAGCAAAGGGAAGGAGCAGGATGCATTGCTGGTAAGCAGTTGGATGCTGGGAAAGAAAAAAGGAAGCCAAGCTGGGACAAAGACTGTAGAGCAGAACCATCTGAAACTGTGCCACTCTGCTGAGGCAGCCGATTATAAAGGGTTTGGGAGCTGACCTGAGGCCTGGCCAGGAGCCCAGTCTGTGATAAGCAGGTACATGCTGCTGTGGGGCAGCCTACAGTGTACTAACATGCTAGACTACATGATCAGCTCCCAGCAAGTCCTCATCTCATCTTGGGAAGCAACCAGTCCTTCAAAAAGATGCATAGATCCTACAGCCATGTGTTTCATACATGATTATGCTTTATACTAACAAGGCCTTATTGTCACTGTGCTGCCTTTTCTGTCCCCAGTGGCTCTGTGTTCCTTGGCAGCCAATACTCTGAACAGTCCCTACCCTTTGAGAATCTCATTCAAGCCAGGGGAAGGCAGAAGCAGAAAGCAATATCAGAAACTCACAGAAGAGAGCACAGGTCAGAGGATGCCTTTACCTTAATGAGGCCACTGAAGGAGCGCGAGCGGGTGCGTCGTGGTGCTGGGGATGTAGGTACCTCAGAGCCAGGAGTCAGAGCTGTAGGGTGCTTATTAAACTAGAAGAAACACGAGGGCAGTATGTTAGCACAGTTATACAGTCGCTCTACCTGTTGCCCTCCGCCTAGAACTCAGTTTGCCTCTTCAGGACTCCAAAAGGGAGAAGCCGTTCACTGCTGCAGGGAGAAGAAAGAGGAGGAAGGCGACATCTCCAATCCAGGGTTACAGGGAGCTTGGGTGTGAGGCTGCTTTATGCTGGTTACCAGATTAGCCAAAAGCAGCAGGTATCGGAGCAGAAAGGGGGTTAGGCAGCAGCTGGAGACTGGCAACCACAGCTGGTGCTGACCATTTTGACCAGTCTCTGGAGCAGGAGGTTGGTTGGAAATGCTCATGGGACTGAGAGGAGACAAGTCTGCCCACTCCCCACAGGCAAGAAAGGACAAGACTTTTCTGAGGAAAGAAGCTCAACAAGGCCATGATCAGGACTGCAGAGCTGCTGACTGGAAAGTCCCTGGCTTGGAAAACAGATTGCTCAAAGCACAGCTTGATGCAGCAAGCTCCATGGTGAGCCACATCCAGGACAGACAGCCTCCTCCCCTGCCTTCTTACAGCTTTGCCCCTTACACAGCTCAGAGCCACCTCCCCGGCCTGCCCAGGATTAGGAGCAGCTCTCAAGGCCCTGCCTTTAGCTCTGTGCCCAGGATTGTGCTGACAAGCACACCCCAAAGGTATCTTGCATCCCCACATTACCTGCCGAATAAGCTTCTTCTTCTTTGCAGAGTCAGGCATACTGTTGACATGACGAAAGAGCTCCTTCAGTGCCTCCTCTGTGCGCTGCTGGGTCTCCTCCTGATGGCAAGTGTCCAGCCGGCTTCGCTTCTGAGACTTGAGGGGCTGCAGCTCCTTGGAGCCAGGAGATGTCAGCAAATCCAGGTCATCCTGGGAAAGCGGAGACAGCAGTTGCTTGCCATGCTTTAATCCAAACGAGCCACCCATCTGAGCCAGGCTGGGAAGAGTCTCATGAGCTGACTCAACCCCAGTGAATGCACAGGGCTGTGTTTTCCCTACCCCTCTGCAGCAGCACTGCACCAGCAGGCCCTGTGCCAGGAAGAGGTGACAGCAATGCAAAGGTGACCCCATTGTTTCTTCCCTCCCCTCGCAGATGCCAGCTGCAGAAGCCCTTCCAGGCTTGAGAAGGGTCAGTGCAGCTCCTTGGAATTCATCTTCCCTCTTCTGGAACTATACGAGGCAGGGAAGCATTTGCTGGCAACGCAGGCAAATTGGTCCCAGTGGCAGCAAGAAACCTTTATCCCAGCCCCAGTTCCAAGCAGCCTGGCCACTGCAGCAGGTCTGTCTGTTTGGAAGGCATAACCCCATGAAGGAGCAGGTGCTACATGTACTGGGCACAGAGAGCAGGTTTGCTGCTAAACAGGGGCTGGTAGCTTGCTTTCCCTGTGCTTTTGATTAACAGATGCTTCAACTCTGCCCAATTTCCCTAATGTAGCCACCTGCACTACCGCACCATATGGTTCCCTCGCTCCTGCTCTCTGGGATGCTTTAATGACTTGGTTTGTTTTCAGCTTGTTTCACTCGCAAGAATCCATTCATAGCACTACAGCCTCTGCCTTCATGAAGGGCAGGTGCTGCATTTGCTGGCCTTACCTTTGATGTGTGGGCTCTGGAACCCAGATAGTGCAGCCTGGCACACTCCCTGATGTACGCTGGGGCCTGTGATAATGAGCAAAGTATGTTTAGTATGTGCTGGCTCCAGCAAGAGTGGCACTTCAACTGTACGCACACACCACTTCCATCAGGACTCAGCCATTCAGGGCAGACAAAGCAATGGCATTTCATGTGCTCAGTGCAGTCTCTGTTCACAGTTCCCTTTGATGCAGACAACCAGCACAAGTGCGACATAGAGTAAGAGCAGGGCTCACAGGAACTTTCTCCAAGCAATTCCCCCAGCTCTGAGCTAGCCAAAGAGGAGCCTGAGAAAGAGGGCAGAAAGGAACTTCCTATGGGAGGACTCTGCAAAGAGCAGATGCCTACAGTACAAGGAAGGTCCCAAGAAGTCATGACACTGCCTGTTGCAGAAACACTTCCTTGGGGGAACCTGCAGAAAACCTTACACTCCTGACTGTCCTCCCAGAGCCCCCTGCTCTGAGCTAGACAGGGGCCCAAGACTGCAGGGGTGCCTGTAACAGCAGTGGCTTGAGAAGTTCACAACAAAGTGACCCGCTGCATGAGGCATTCAGCTCTTGGCAGCACTTACCCAGCAGAACTCCCTTCAGTTTCCTTATCCTGCCTGATCCCAAGGGGAGCCTAGTGGCTCCGTGCCCCCAGGAGCCCCATTTCCCAGGCGGGCAGCACATGCTGGGTGTCCAGCAGAGGGTGGTGTTACACTGCACCGTGCTGCTGACCTGCCAGGCAAAGCCACCCATGGGAGGTCTTCCTTCTCCTGGGCTGCCCTGCCCTTTTGCTCACTGCCCTACCTCTTCCCTGCTCACTAAAGAAGCAGTTTCCTGCAGAAGTCCTCCTCCTCCTATTGTAGAAGACAGCACCCAGAAGATACACTTGACACTTGGGATCTGCCTGGACAGGGGGCATTCAGTTTCCTGCTGAAGGGCCAGAGAAAGCAAGATCCCAGAGCATACTTACCTTGAAGAGCTTCTGAGAGTGTTTGATCATGAAGGTCACTCCATTATTTAGCTTGGTGATATTCTCCTGAAGGTCATTTGCTGTCACCTGGCAAGGGGAAACAGCCAAAGGCACAGCAGTTAGAAGGGGAAGAGGAAGGGTCTCTGCTGCCCTTGCTGTCTCTGGGACAAAGACACGCAGTGCCTCAGCAGAAGACCTGCTCTGGAGGAGATAGGCAGGCAGGGCTCAGAGCACATCAATAACCAGAGCTCACAGAGCTAAAGCTGCTCTGGGAGGAGGAGAGCTAGACTGCTCTAGGGCCAAACAGTTCACAAGCAGCACAAGAGAGATCTGCAAGGTTTCTCTGAAGTTATACTTAAAAGAAGTAGGACTGTGCTGTGCTTTGAATTGTACTGAAAAAGATGAAGCATCAGTTGCAAATGAAACCTACAGCAGGTTTGGATTGAACACTAGGACTGAGTCCTGCCAGGAAGCTCCACCTCACCATCCCACCCTCCAACCCTCACATCACTCTATCAGTACTTAATCTTCCCATCTTGGGTCTTCCCCTACAGGCCTGCCAAGACTCTGCCTTCTACTTTGCAACGTCCTACCCACAGATACTGTGGCATTGCTCACATTTCTGGGCCAAAGGATGTGGGGTGCAAACATGAGGGCAAGATTGTGGGCAGACATCTTGTTCTTGTCCTGCTTCTTGGCGGTCTGGTAGAGCAAGTCCAGCAGCAGTTTGAGCAGACTGCGGTTGGGCGCAGGAAGGATCAGAAACAGCAGCTGGAGGGCTTCAATTTGGCGCTCTTTGTCTGGAGTGCTGGTCTTATTGCCCTTCTCATCAAACAGCGTCAGGTCTGCCGAATCACAAGGCAGAAGATGGACACACATTACATTCCCTAACAGCAAGCCTATTGCAATGGTTACCCTTCCCTCTTCATATTCACATCTCCAGACTCCTCCACTGCTGTCCTGAACCCATGACAACAGTTCTCTCCCCCCAGTTCCTAGGCTGATGTGTTAATATGTGGTACTCATTCCAGAGGACAACACAGCTGCTAAGAGCTGTAACGGGCTGAAGGCAAAATGGAGAAGTTCAGATAAGGTAGTTCAGTAACAGCTATTACATACACAGAAACCAAACCTTGCTCAGGAGACACCTCAGGCTTAAAACAGATGAAGACCCAGGTTACCAGTGTGGGCTCCACTCCTGTAGGTGTCTGTTTACTGCTGGAGGGGGAAGACTGGGCTAGACTGTCTGATTCCTTAGGATTTTCAGCTCCAGTCTTTTCACCATTAGGCTGAGATGACAGGAAGTTTCATTCTTAATCTGCCTTTAAGGATTACACTTCCACAACCTACTGTGCAGCTCTGTAGCATTACCAGCTTTTGAGGAGGTTAGTTCAATTCCCTCTAATCATGTCTGCCTCTTGCTGATCACTCACCTGCAATTTTGAGGTGGGCATGGAAGTGCTTGTGTGTGAGCAGTGGCTCTGGCAATTCACCCAGGAACATCTTGAGCAGGGTGGCGACATCATTGGAATGAAACTCCCCAGAATCCAGGTCAATATCTGTACCGCTGTTCAGAGCATCCTTTAGGATCTGTTGCCTGATGCTGTTGCCTGGCACCCGAAACAAGCCTTCTGCTCTCAGATCTGCTTGGCATAAAGGAGAAAAAAGGCCACTGATTAACAAGAGGCTGATTCCCATCTTTTTACCAAAGCAGCTCCATCCCCTTTCCAGAGCCTGACAGCAAACCTCGATGACCTGCATTCAGAGACATGACTTCAAGCTGGCTCCATCAGTAGAAAAAGTCCATGCACAGAGGGAAAGAGATTAACACATTTGCTAGGCAACTCTGGGGAGCAGTCACAGCCTCAGACTCCTGCTGCTGGAGAGCTCAGAGCTTTTCAGTCTCTCTGCATCAGACACCTGAGGTGGGCAGGACAAATACCCCTCGGGATAGGAAGACAGCAAGACAGAGTCACTTACTTTTGTGCAGATACTCAATTAGTTGGGAAACCTGTGCAATGCCTTCTTCTGTCAGCGGTGAGCCAAACACCACCCCTTTCTCTGCAGAAAAGAAGATAACAAATGTATTCAAGCAACTCAGAAGCCAATAGCCACAGAGGTGAGTGGTCCCCAAAGAACAGGATCTCAGCATGCAAAGACCAGTGCCCAAAATGCCAAGGGTGGTGGTCACAAGGACTCCCACAGATGTGAGATATCACAAGCACTCCAAAATAAGTCACTTCATCTCACCATGCTGTACTTACAAGGACTTCATCACTGTGCTTCTTACCTCAGCTTAATTACAGTTTTTTTATCAGCTAAAGCAAACATTCTATAGTTCCTGAAAAGAAAACAACACCAGAACAGATGCTTCAGTTTTAAAGGGCAAATCATCTGCAAGCCTGAACCTTATGGAAAGACTGAAGTGGGAAGGGCAGATGTGACAGCCTGGATCGCCTGGGTGCCTACTGCATTGTCACACTCTGCACCTGGGAAGCCAAGTCCAGATTAATCCTCACTGGCTTGACATGGAGTGAAGCAGAAATAAGAGGTGCAGCTATGAGTCTATGGGAGAGCAGAACAAACACTACTGGGGAAAGCAGGCATGATCTGACTGGCTCACACTGACCTCCTTTTCAGGGATGGGCAATCCCTGGAATTCCCCAATCCCAGTGAATCTCTCTTCCATGTCAGCTGCCCTGGCCTGAGTACAGTAAAGTACAAGGGCTGAACAAGGGAGAAATATATATTAAAGAAAAAGGACAGCAGCAAAACAATGAGCTGGGCCCTCCTCCATATGGAACACTGACAGCTCCTCTCACTCACTCCTGGAGTTTGCTTTCATCTCATGTGGCTGTTACAGATGGGCAGGAGCTGCCAGCTCCAGAACTCCAGTGAATAACAGAGGGCACAGCCCCAAAAGAAGATAGAAGCAACTGAGCTGAAAGGAAGGAGATCCTTGCATGGAAGGAAACATTAGGTGAGAAGCCCATCTAATTGAAGGGCACTCATTGAACCAATGCAGAAAAACATTCCTGACCAGAGAGGGGCTTTCCAGGAAGATGGTGGTTATCCAGCAGGACAGTATGTCTAAATAAATGCAGTCTTGCTGGTGAATGGCTTTTTCCATCCCATACCCACAGCCAGCACACTCTACCCCTCAGAACACTGAGGCAACTCCCAAGGGCTTCACTGGCAGCAACCAGAGCCCTGAGCACCTCTTTTCCCTCAGATGCATGTAGGCTTCGACTGCAGCTAGAGACAAGATGCTGTTAATAATAGCAAGATAGATGATACCACACCGTGCTGACTGGGACTGGGAACTGGAACCAGGCGCAGAGCTGCTTTGTCCTGCCCTTGCACTAAGGCTTCTAAGAGCCAACAGATTTAAGAAGAGAATATTCCTCATTTCTTCCATTAGGCTGACAGGAGCATGGGCCACTTCTCTGGGCAAGTTGGGCATCTGCACCCCAGCTTTCTGTGGCTGAATATTTCCCTTCTTACTGTTACAACTGATAGCCCATCAACCCAAACAGTGCATTGGCTGGTCTGATAAAAATTATATCCCCCACAAGCTTTCTCTTGCCTTTCCCCCCCATAGTACATTTTGATTTTACCAGCTTTTGGTCTGTTGTACTGCAGACGATACTGTTCTGTGGTGCTGATGCTCACTGCATGTGGAAAGACCTGGTTAACCCTGTGTGCTTCTTCAGCAGCCTTCCTATGCAACTAAATTTATTCCACCTGAAGAATGTTCTGCTTTCTTCTAGGACTTCTAAAATACATGGGAAGCCACCAGAAACTTCAGCATCCTGTTAAATCAAGAGCGTTCTGACTTCCCTCTGGTAACGAGCATGCTTCAGTCTTGCAGGAGAAAGGAGGGTGATGTGAGCCCTTGATCCACACATAGGATCTGACAGGCCTGAGTCTGAAGGGATGGAACAGCTGGCAAAAGATTCTCGTCCTTGAAGAAAACTGAACTCATTAGACATTCAGTAGGTATAATCAATAGTGGCCAGGAAGAGAAGAGGAAAATACAACTTCTTGAGACATGCAGGGCCTGGCAAATTATGTTTACCTTTGAAGTCAGAAGTTGATATCTGAATGAGAATCAGATTCCAAAGAAACTTGAAAGCTGTGTTTGGAGAATGGATGTTGAGTTATGGAAGGCTTAGATGTTATTGTATGATTGCTTCTGAAACTAAGAAGCAGCATGAGATTGAGTTTCCTGATGCTCAAAGAAGTTGTAAGTATTTGCAGTTTGATCAGTTCTGAGCTCTATGGTCCTTGGCCTCTGGCTTTGAAGAAATAAAACCTGTTTGTTCTAGCTGGTCTCTAACACAAAGGAAAACAAATGATGGCTCCAAGATAAAACACACAGTACATGAAACTGATTTTCTCTGCAGGCACAAACTTCTTTTTCTCAGAGTTCAGCCAAGGAGTTCACAGACAGTGCCTGTCAATGCAGGGAGACACTGCCATTGCAGCCCGGGAGTGCAGCCAGCAGACTTGGAAACATCTGCTCACCCTAGCTGTAGTGAGACACATGGCCATGGGGATGGCTGAATGGGGAAAAGCGAAGCTCTTGGGGAACAGAGTTAGCAGGAGATGTCAGGTCTGATAAGAGCAGTGCTCCAGCAAAGTACAGATAATTTAAAAACACGAGCTAGAGAAGGCTTACAGGCCTCTGCTAGGAAAGTTTTGATAAACACATGAAAGTTTCTATACACACCAGGAGAACACTTTCAACTTGGTTACTCATTCATTTCTGCTTGTCAAGGGAAAAGTGTCCTGCTACTCTCTGAGAACAGAGGCAGGAGCGCTGCCAGGTACAAGCACAGCCTATCTTCAGTTTGAGGGCAGCATAAAGACCTGTTATTATGGAGCAGCAAGGCAAGACGGCAATACTGAATAATTCTCACCTAAGGGTGTTAAAGGACTTCACTTGCCGTACTGTAGTTTCCCCTGCAGTGCCGTCCAGCCCAGCGTGAGTGGATCTACCAGGTTCCTACTGGTTGAGCGAGGAGTGGGGGGCTGAAGTTATCACCAGAAAATTCAGCCTGAGCAGTGGGGCTGCAGAGCTTGTCCTTATGAAACCCAGTGGAGGAATAGGTTTGGTTGAATGAGAAACACTTAGAGAAACTATATAAAGGTTGAATAAAAAAAAGAAAAAGCCATACTAGGGCATAGTGATAGCTCTCTTCTCAGAGGTACTCACAATAGCAAAATTGCTCAAAGGAAGGGGAAGACTAATTAGAAGTGTTCAACCTCAGGCTGCCAACATCTGAAGGCAGCTACCCACAGCTTCTCTGCCAGCAGACAGCCAGTCTAGCTAGGAAACCAGAGCTGATGAGGGATGTGTGAGGTGCCCAGATGGAGGCAGTTTCTGTCTAGATGAGAAGGTTTAACTGAACTTACCAGGAGAACCAGGCTGTGCTTGAGTGGGGGCAGAGGTGGAAGAAGGCACATAGACACCTATAACAGCCTTTTAGTTACAGCAAAACAGTGGTAAATGCCAGCCATTGAAAAAAAGATCTGAACACAACTGTGCTCAAAAGCAAATCTCAGACTTCTGAGAAGAGGCCTAGGGCTAATATTTCATAACCAAGAGAGCTGAACTTGAAAGAGAAGATAAGAATAGTCTGTTTACCAGAAGAAAACTCCAGCTGAATTTTGCCTCAGAGTGAAAGAGAAATATGTCATCTCTCAGGGCTGACTCTGGGCTTGAACAGCTTCAATCTGCAGAGCTTTGCCACTGACTCACTGGATTGGGATGCGGATCAGAGTGGCACTGGCATTTGAATGGGAGATGCTTATGGATTTTGAGCTGCTCAGACAAGACCTTCCAGAGATCTGGGACAGCAACTGAAAGAAACAGTGGGCATTGAGTGAAGTGGCCTGGAAAACCGGGGTGTTGTTGGTCTTCATAGAGCCTGGTGCTCTCGGCCTTTCCTGATATACTGTCACTTACAAAGAAAGCTAATGATCTAAGGAAAACAGAGTACGGACTCTCATAGACAAGCAGAGAGACAAGGACAACTTGGTGTGTGTTGGAAGAACCTGCAACTTGTTTAGGCACCCCTCGCCAGCTCAGTGCTACCCAAGCCAGACCAGAAACACCCAGGGACCAAAGCTGTACCTTGGTGGCATGCAGTGCACTAAGCACACCATCAAGGCCAGCCTGTCAGAAACCACAGCAATAACCCCCCAGGAGGAGGGTACTCTAGAAGTAGCAAGACATTTCCAGGGTGAACTCCCTTGCCATTTGCTCCTTTCCAGAGGTGCCATTCCCAGAGATTAAAGCCCTATAGTATTAAGCATTCAACACAAGCACAGAACAACAGGCCTACACTAGAAGTTTTGTAAACTACATGTAACGGATGATGACAGCCAGCATCACCCTGAATGTGGGCACCAGGCATCATGATACTCACCCTTTCGCTTCAGAGACATCAGAGAACGAAAAAATCCAGAGGCTGTGCTGTTTGCCCCAGGCAGCTTTGGGTCTTCCTCTCCCATTAGCTGGGCGAGCTCTGCCCCAGGCAAGTCAATGAGCCTGGTAATGTTGCTGACAACAAGCTCTGTGAACACCTCTGGTTTTTCATGGCGCAGCTTTTCCACAAAGAAGTCAGGGTTGAAGATGATGGGCTGGCTGCGGAGGGAGGAATCATTGCAGATGACAAAACTGCAGATGGCATCACTGGAAAAGAGGGAAGGAGAAAAAAACCCACAGTAACTCCTCATTACATTGAGTTTTACAGCCAGCTGCTCTGCCCTGAAGGAGACATCTGCTGACACAGGAGCCACCAGTCAACACCAACAGTACTGTCTGTCTTTAGTGAGAGTTCAGTGCAGTGCACTTACATTTCCCTTTGGAGCAAAACCATTTCTGGCCTGCCTGTACAACACAGCCCAAGACTAACATCATGGTAACATACGCAACACATGGCAATGCCCAAGTAGAACTTTCACTGCATCTATATCCTGCCGGTTCAGGCTGATGACACCAAACACTTTACATTAACTTACCACTCCCAGTCATAAGTAAATTTGGTTCTTTCTTCCTTCCTCCCCAGAAATTCACTCCCAGTGCCCTAAAAGCCTAAATCCCATTTTTTTTCATGGACAGCTTATACTCCTCAGTTCCCATTGCCATTCCATCATCCCTACCTTCCTATCAACGCATAGATAATTCACATGCCCTGGAACTTTAAGATCATAAACACGCAATAACCCTGACCCACGGTTCTTCTAGAGATGTGGTCAAGCCCTCCCAGGTGACAAACTGCCTACAGCTTGGTTACTGCTTTCAGCCACCTACAATAACTGCCCAGCTATGCACTCCCGACTGCGGAGTGAGCATGGACTCATCAGTATTAGCACAAGCTACACAGTCTTTGAGAACCCCTAGTAGCCCTTTTCCTAAAACATCTCCTTCCAGCTCAGACAGCTCTTGTCTCTTCTTCAGGCTGCCCTGAAGCAGGCATTCTCTACCGGTGCTTGCTTTTTCCATTTCTCATGTGGCATGGGAAAAAGGATGCGTCTGAGACACCGCTCTACTGAGCGTTATCTGTAACAGATACTTAGCCTTACCAGAGGTTAGGTAAGCTATATTTATCATGTCTAGAATCAAAATAAAGATATTATCAAAGAGATATCTCAGGTTAATCAGCACTTTTAATGCTCACACTTGAAGCTTATCCCAATTTTCATCTACCTCTAGGTCTTCCCTCAACATCTTCCCACCACTGTTTCAAACACTGGCATGCTTCTGAAGCCCAGTTTACAGTCTAGAGTTGCCCAGCTTGCTTCTCCTGTCCCTCTTTTACTTAAATGTGAGGATTAGTGTCATTATTCTCCAGTCACAAGCTACTGCCCTGGTGCATACTATAAAGTACTGCATGCCAGTTCTTCCAGGGCTCTAGGTGGAGAATGCCTACCCACCCAGCTTACGCATGCTGCATGCTTTCACTGTGGGACATTCCTCAACCCTTTAATCATTTGCTTTCCACCGTTCCAACATCCCTCCTTAGCTGTGAGCTTTAACTGAACACAGGTAACAGAAATGCCCCCCCCGTCCACGTAAGTCCCTTAGGAGTGAAAAGAAACAACTTGCTCTGCTGATTACCTGCCAAAGGCTTTCCTTCCAAAGCCTTCCCACGTAACACCAGAGCACCTTGACCTGCCTCTCCTCTCTGCTGAGGGGTGGAGGCCACATCACTGTGTTCAGACCACACTGGGCATCTGTACTCACTGCTCGGCACATGACACCAAAAGCATTTGCAACCCACTGGACCTTACATTCTTTGGTTCAAGCAGCAGAGCACTTCAGCCACTAGTTCGGAGATCTCAGTAACTTATTGTTCTGATGTAAATCAACAGTGGCTGATGAATGGGAGGACACCAAAGCATGTACTGACAGGTCAGCTGAACTCCAGCCTGCCTCCACGCCCTATCTGTGAGCCCAACAGTTATCTGAGCTGCTGCTGTACATCTCTGACCTGAAGACCATCTTGGTGTGACTTCCCGAACGCGTGATCAGAATAAGAGAATGAAAGCTGCGACTCGGGCTCCACAAGGGGATTTCAGATTTGCTGACATCGGAGGAAACCCGGCTCTCGGCAACGCTAGCATTGTGAGAATCCATACAAACCCCTCTCCCCTTGCCACTGCTCCCCATGGATGTCAAAGGCTCCTTCAAGAGGACAGTGAGGAGGAAGGTCTGGGAGGCAGATTGCAAGGCAGCCTGCCAGGTCATCAGAAATTATGGAACGCTCTTAAAGGCTCCCAGCTGCGTGGCGCAGAGCGGCCCAGCAAGCGTGCTGCCAGCTCCAAATGGGGGCCACGTTTTCCTGAGCACCTCCCAGCCTGGTTTTCGGCAGTTTGTTACCTGCAATAAATCAAGGCCGAAACGCAGCAACTTGGTATCTGCTGCCAAAAAGCAACTGCCAATCGATCTGATCGTATTTGCGTTTCATTGCCCAGGGCTACAATGCACAAACAAGTGCCGGCTCTGCCCATAATGTGGAGCAAGCCCTTGGCCTGAAACCCATGACAACTCATCCTGTGGCAATACAGATCCTGAGAAGGGTTAATAGCAAGTGTATAGGCCCAGTGACCCTGCCTGCAATGATCCGTGCACTGTTATTCACTCACTAGCAGTTTTGTTTCCCCACAGAGAAGATATGCAAATACTTTGCAGCAGTTACATCAAGCATTACAGATTATCTGCTCTCTATGACAATTAGCTATCTAGATTCAGAGAACAGAAATCAAGCAATTCCATCAACTAGAACAGACTGACATGACTCCTCTGCACAGCCCCTGGTAGGAGTCACAGAAAGTTTAACAACATTTAATTCAGAAATAAATAAGATAAAAAGTAAATTTCTTACATGAGTGCTGAGAGCTTTTGGAGAGGCATTAGGAAGCAGAGACAGGGAAAAGAACTTGCTCCTTGTTTCCAGCAACAAAAGAAACCTGCCTGTCCCAGCACAGCCTATGCAAATTCCACGCATGCTACGAGACACAAGGGCGCATTATTGGGTCTGAAAGGCCCCCTTGGCACACACTGGGCATCAGCCTTCACACAGAGACAAAACAGAAAAGAAAAGCTGGACAAATTGATTCATGTCTCTTGCCAAAGGCTGCGTAGCTGGAGTTTAACGGCAAATAATTCCTACATAGAAACCAGGGTTCTGAATTCGGAGCAGCGTGGTATGAAGTGTTCTCCACCTGTATCCAAGAGGAATCCACAAAATAGCTCCAAAGCTACACTGCGTTTGCCATGAGTAAAGCCATGCAAACACATTCCCAACAGCATCCAAGCACATCGGATGTTACAGCACTGTCAGGACAATAGCGGAGTCCCTTAACTGCACAACCCCATGGCCAGAAACCTTCCTAGAAACACTCTCTGCCCCTGCCTTGCATTCTTTTAGATGCTTTCAAAGGCAAAACATGTAGATCACCCCCTCCAGAGCTGGGAACAGCACCATTGCTCTTTGCCACCATTACTGTGCCACCATGTGCTGTTCATCCACTTCAGGCTTCCCGTTCCACGTTTCTCTAGATTCCCATCCAGTTTCCTTGCCTGCCGCAGCTGGGACCAGCCTTGTATACACTTATTGTGGTATGGCACTTCAATGAGCTACTTAATTTTGAAAGGTCACTTTATTAGCAGCTCTTCCTCGCATAGAGAATTTGCCTTTGTATCATTATTGCTAATCAAAATGGAAATGTGAAGCAAACCACTATTTCTGAGCAAAGATGAAGCCCCCACTGGCTTTACACACAATAACCCTGCCAATCCTCACTGCTGCACACACTACAACCTTCAGAAAAAGCCGTGTGCCCCATCTGCTGTTTTCATGTTAAAAAAAGGAAGATGGATGTACTCTACCTACACTCACAGTTTATATATCAGCAGCAAAGGGGAGACAATCGTGTATTGAGGGATTTCTTGTTGGGGTTTTTTGGCTTTGCTTGCAATTACAGTTGTATTTTTCTATACGCTGCGATCTCAGACTGCTTCATGACACGTCAAAAAGATAGGATAATAAATAAAGGAATAAATGGCTTCCTCTCTGATCCCATGAATAAAATCAAATCCCAAAGAATAATGAAATCTTGTACTAAGAGGGTTGTGATTAAGACAGCAGATTAAAAAAAAAAAGGGTCCTATATTGTGCTGAGATTCCTGCCATTCTGGTATCTTTCAGAAGCGAAGCCTGTGATCCCAGCCAAGTCACAAAGAAAGCTGTCTGTCACACACAACGTTCTTGCTGCAGGCATGACAGCCCCATCATTTCATGGGGAGTGGATGGTGCAGGAGGTCAAAATCATGATGAATCAATTAATCCCTAAGGTAACTAGATCCAGGCCAGGGAAATGCCTTGGAAACTAGGACAAAAATAAGACTTTAACTGGCAAAACCTGGTGATTGACCCTGTGGTGCAAAAGCTGTGCAAACAGGCAGATTAGCTCACGTGGCAGCAAGTTTGCATTCAGATAGGTGAGACCTAACTGTTTTAGTGGCTTTTTACAGATTTTGTATTGTTCTAACTCCACCCATGTGAAGGCAGAAACAGGTTCAAGCAACATGAAATACAGCCTAAGGAGAGCATAATCAGCCAAAAAGGAAAAAGGGGGCTGTGTTTGTCTAGCTGGGAAAGTGGAAAAACTGGAAACTGCAGATTTCAGATGAACCTGATGTATCTAATTCAGTGGGCAAAATCCATCTCCGGTGCAGTTTTGCGCACTTGTATGTCATCACTGAGAAGCTAACACTTCAGACACACCACAGTAGACTAGTTTTGCTGTAAAACTCACGAAAGGATTAAAGAGCTTTTGAAAATAAGGCGGATAATAGAAGAAAATCTCCCTCTGTAATAATAAAATCTTTAGACTACAAGAAAAAGCCAGGCTGCTACCAAATACTGAGAGCAGGGAGATAAGCGGGCAGTTCTAAAGAACACAAAACACGAGCAATTCTTTGCCTGGCTAAGCACAAAGGGGATGGGACAGATGTGAGCTGGTTCCTATTTCCCCAGAGAGAGAGAAGTAGCATCATTTCCTATCTCGTGCCAGAGTAAGGAATCAATTAATAAGGATGTCTGAAGACAGTATTTCCAGAGCCAGATAGGAGCCATCCCAGATTTTGCAAAGATGAAAGAACCATAGTGGAATTATGTGGAATCATTTTAAGTAAAAAGGACTAAAAGACAAATTATTTCCCAGATTAAAAAAATAATATGCTTTAAAGAAGTCCAATGGGAACGGAGTGCAGAGACATTAGAAGTGACTCCACAGCTGAGGTTGCTTTGAGGACTGTACTTCAGACTGACATTCTTGTAAGATAGCGTAACAAAGATCACATTCAGGCCTCAGATTTGGCACAGCAGCTCTTCGTAAGATGAGTGATTTGCCTCTGAAAAACGTTAAGAAAAACATGCAGCAATTTTTGCATATGGTTATACTCATAAGGTCTTTAGGGGCAGAGTCCTTTTGGGATGAGTACACAGCACACAGTGCAGTGGATGCCAATCCTTGCCTACTGTCTCTGGACTTCATACAACTACAACATACTACATAACACTGCCTTTTTAAATCTTGCTTTGCTTTCTTCCCATTTAAAAGCTAACATGGAGTGATTCAGCCTTTTGGCTACGGGAAACAGATAATAATATGCAATTTAAACAGCAAGGAACTGGTGAAGAAAGCTGCTATTATGCGATGGCAGCCTGTGCTGGACAACCTGGAACTAATGTAACACCAGGCCGTCTTTTAGACAGCGGGTAAATTGGATATCCCAGTCACTGCTGCAACCTATGAATTCAAATTCTGTCTCAGTAAAGGACTCAAAGCAGACGGCGGCAACATCAGCTACACATCTGCGGTGTGAACCTGGAGACGGACCTATCTGGGAAGATAAAAGGGTTGGAGGGGGCGGGTAGGAAGTGTGCTTTGGATAAAATGCAAGATATTGCCAGTGTCAAAGAGAACTGCAGTAGCGAGACAGCTTGATATATGTGAAGCATCAAGAAATTTCCATTTCAGCATGAAATTTCTCAGGTTTGACCTCAGTGAATTCTTTTGCGATCTCTTTCATAATAGCCACTGGAATATTTTAAAGTCATCAAAGCCATACTTCAATCAGCCATCACCACAACATCAGAGCATCCAGATGCCTTCTAGTGCTAAGAGGCGCCTCAGAGAGGAACCGTATGTTCACTGCGGTGCTCCTCACCAAGTCTTCTTCCCACCACCAGCAGCACAGCTTTGGATGATCCCACGCTGTGTGGTGGGCTCAGCCTCCTACCCAAGGCTCTGTAAAAATGCAGGAGCACAGCTACTGCCAGAAACCCAGCAATTTTACATTAAGGATCGAGCAAGCTCATATACATGCCTTAGCATCAGGTTAACACGGTCTAACAGCATTAAACAGCAACGCCACTCCGATTTTCATGACTTTCAATGCAGTCTAAAGTTTGTGTCTTTATTTTAATATAAATCCCTACTGGGAACAGCAATAAAAGAGGAGCCTTAGATCCAATTTCACTGAAATCGGCACCAAAACTGAATCTTTTTAGATGGCAGCAGCTGCCTCTTCTCGTTGCTGATCTATTCAGTTTTATCACTGTGGCATTGGGAACCTCGGTCACAGCTGGGGACTCCACTGTGCTCCATGCTGTACAAACACAGAACAAAGGCAATACCCCGGTCTTTAGAGGGCTGATAGCTAAATCTGAAATGAATGCTGGAGGGACAGAAAAGGAGGAATCCCAAGAGAAGAGACAGCACTATCAGTCAGCATGACTGATAGAACCAACCTCTGCCAGCTTTTCTGTAGACACTATTAAAAAGGAGGGCGAGGAAGGACAGGAAAAATAATCAGGTCACACTGCAGACATTTAGAAGAAATCCAGCTTCTGCACGAGGGGCAACATGGGACTGAGCACAAAGGAGCTGGTTTGAAAGCTATCAGGCAAGGACGGCTGGGACGTGGGGCTGAGGATGTAAGAGCTGAGCTCCAGGCACTGGTGAGGCAGAGACAACAGTCCAGCAGTGCTGGAGGAGCCAGGCAGCACCACAGGGCACCGTGTGGCTGTATCCGGACCCCTGCAGCAGGGTGGGAGGGTCGCAGCCTGAGGAAACCCTGCAGTCACTTCCCACCACCCAGAACACGCTGGGCAGGAATGCTGCCTCTCCTCTGGGAGGTCACCATGGCCTCGGGCTTGTCTGTATAGAAACAATTTATGTGTTTTCCCTTCCCCAGTCATATAGTTCTAGTCATGACAAAACAACGAATTTGGCTTTGCTTTATTTTACTAATTGAAGCCATTGTGAATAACATACCATAGATTTGCAGTACTCTGTGGGGCCAGGTGGTAGCTGAATACTATGTCCCATGTCTAGGACAAGTATTTTAGGCCTTTTCTCCCCATGCGCTAGAGAATTACCCACCAGGACCTTTGGCTACAAGTGTAACAAACTAAAAGGACACCTCTTCTTCCCATGGACCCTAACATCTTTCTTGTGTAATCTAAAATTCTCCATTGAACATGTGTCCATGGACTCGCACCAACTGACTGCTCTTCAACTTTATTCCTATCCCATTTTTGTTCCTTACCTGGGAGGACTGCAAGGTCCACACATGTCCGTTGTATCCCCAGTGTGCCAATGGGTACTTTCCAGTTGCCAACAATGGCAGTATTCGCTTGCTCTCATAACCTCTTTACTTCCCCATTTTGAGTGCCCTGGAAGCCAATAAGAAGCATGGCCCAGGCCCACCTTTACCTCCTTGGCCTCTAGAATTCAGAACGTGCTGCATGCACCTCTGATTGTCACGCTTACACTTGAAGATAAGAGGCCAGAGGCAGCGAAAATGCAGTTTAGACACTAGCAAAGATACATCATGTAGATGCTTCTCAAGCTTGTGGCTCCAAGCCAGCGCCCAGGTCAGAGCAGAATTACCATCTATAAAGAGGAGCCTCACAACAATCAAGTTTACTTCTGGCATGAAAAATTGAGCAATCGTAACATTAGCACAGCAAAATTAGCAACCTATTGCAGCAACTAGTGCGGGAACTCAGAGCAATCCAGCAAGGCAGAAAGGGTATTTTCCTCCAGCACTCCCACAGGATGGTAACCACCCAAAACTGGTAGCATCAACTGGCGCCTAGAATACATTTGGGAATCCCATCCCGCCTTCAACTGTCAGCACTTGAAGAAAGCATCACAATGCCAGTGCTGCAGCACTCACAGGGTCACTTGGCTGCTGCTGGTTTTAGTGGACCAAGGTGATGCCAAGACCTGGGTCAAGACCCACAGCCAGCTCTCAACTACTGTTGAGTACGGTTCTGTGGTCACAGCCTGGCAAATACAGACAAAGGACTCAGAAAGCCACGCTTCAGTAATTCCATAATGCTCCTTGGCTCTGGAGGAGCAGTGGGCAAGCTGCATGCCTGCATCTGTATTTTGTAGCATGGTGGTGTTTACAAAGGATGAGAGCACATCAAATCCCTTCTCATCAGCAGTCCTCTGCAGACACCACCGAGTATGTCAGAGGCCACATCCCATGTTCCAGATGTGTAAACTCTCACAAGCTGGAACTGCAATGAGGCACACCTGGATGCATGCCAGCACTGAAATAAACTGGTGACATCTGGTCAGGGCTGCTGAAGCACACAGATAAACAGGCTGGGCCAGCCGCAGAGCAGCACAGCATGCAGCACCAGACAGACAGGGATGCACAAAGCAGCACAATTAACTCACCAAAGCAAGCAGAATGGGGGCTTAGTGGTTTTGAAGGGGATTTGGGCAGGCTAGGATGTCAAAAACTGGAACATTGCATACAGATAACAAAATTCCTATGAGAGTAACCTATACTGTCACTTTGTGCAACTCTCCCATGCTGATCAGAAGCAGCTTCACTTCCCATCCCACCTGACAGGTCACCT